CTCTTCCTAGCTGTGTCCTTGCAGGCAGTCCTCAGCGTTCCTTGGCTTGTAGCCTCACACTCCAGTCTCTGCCTCTGTTGTCACATGCGTTCTCTCTGGGTGTCTCTGTCTCTGACTCTCTCTCTCTCTCTGTGTCTCCTCTTTCTCCCTTTTTTTTTGGCTGCAGAAATCTTTATTGTTTCCATTTGGTCCAAAGCATGGGAGAGGGCTCCAGGGTGGCTAAAAAGCTGCCTTGTGGTTTCAGGGAGAGGCTCAGGCAGAAGCCAGACACCAGGGGACAGAGAGGAGCCCCTGAAAGGCTTCAGGGCTCCATAGGCTCTTAGTGGTGCTTGAAGGCGACCCTTTCGAGGAGACACTTGCCCAGCCCAGCCTGAGGCCCACCAGCCTGCAGAGGAGTCAGGTGTAGCCCATTCTTGATGAGTTCCACCTGCTCATCCAGGAAGCGGTTCTCCAGGAAGCCGCAGAGATGAGGGTCTGTGCGGGTAGAACCCAGGGCATGCAGGTCCAGAAGGGCCTGGGTCAGGTTCTTCTCTGGGACCACAGCAGCTTCCATGACATCCTGAGTTTCACCCCACTCATCTCAGGACGGCTTCAGCACGTCCGGGAAGAGAGTGAGGCCTCCATGCTGGTTTTGCATCTTCAAGAGCTGCTGGGAGCCCTCAAAATTCTCCTCAGCCAACTCTCTGAAGAAGTGGCCCAGGCCCTCCAGGGCTACATGGTCGCCATTGAAACAGAAGCCCAGAGAGAGGTAGGTGTAGGAGGCCTGCAGATGCAGGGTGACCAGGCGGTTGATGGGGCCTCCACGTCGGTAGAACAATTCTGATGAATTTGGGAGCTCATGGATGCTCGGTAATGGGCAGTCAAACTCAAAAACGGTGTTTGCTGGCTTCAGGCCTGGGATGGCTGAGATCACTCTGTAGGTGGTGGCTGGAAAGAAGTTTGAGGGAGGTCAGGGGTGGAAGCAGGGGCATCCTTGGGTCTGACCAGTCCAAACACCATTGAAGGAAGAGACAGATGCCCACGGAGGGCACTGCCTCTGTCTCATCTCTTAAAGGAATGACAGTGATTGGATTTAGGGGGCACCAAATCAAATACGACCTCCTCATGATTACATCTACAAAGACTTTTTTGCAAAATGATCATATTTACTGAGGGTTACGACAGCATTATCTTTTGCGAGCACATGAGTCAACCTACAGTACTGAGCCCATAAATGGGAACTCTACAGCTGCAGGATGCTGTGTGCCTGGGGGGCCAGGACCCCCACCTGCCCTCCTGGACCTTACAGGCACTGCATGGAGCCGGGCTGGATGGGGGCACACCTGTGGACAGAGGGCTGGGAGGGAGGAACCAGGCCCGGTTCTGCCGCTGTGGGGGAGAGGAGGCCTGCCAGGTGGCGTCCAGGTGGACCACCCCGGATACGTGGGCAAGGCAAGGGGGCATTTTTCATGGCTGCTATGAACACAGATCTCCCTACAGCATGGTTTAAATCACCCTGACAGGAAAACCCCAAACTTAGATCTGGCTGAAGATGCTTTGTTTTTCTCGCTAATTGATTCCCTTGCTTTTGGCTAGTAGTTAGAAAGGTTTCAACAATTACAGCTATAAAGCTTGTGAGAAGCTCCTGGAAGACATCACAAGTTGTCTACAGAAGTGAAGGAAGTTAAAGGAGAAATAATTGTTCACTGAGGAGGAGTCTAGACTAGTGACGACGTGTTCTCAGTGTTTTCCTGAAGAGAGTCGTGGAAATGGGTTAAGTGCAGTGAAATAGCTTCTGTAATGTAGGAGCAGCGAGCCCCAGGAAGAGTCATAGTTGCAAGTACCTAGGACTGTGGTCCCACGCTCTGCCTTGACATCTCCTGGGAGAGTAGTGATGTCCATCTTGACCTGGGGAACTGCCTGGAACAGTTCTTGGCCTGCTGTGAGTTCAGTACTCAAGGGAACAAGATAGGAACCTGTCCCATTGTGCAGACTCGTAAGAAGCTGGTGGTGTCCCATCTTTTGGCTCAGGGAAACGATGCACTTGAACTAACATGTATCCATTTGGTGATACTGAAATGCATTTTGTTTTCCCTCGGGGTTCTCATGGACCATTCATTGCCTGCACAGTTAAGCAAGGCTTGCTTCTGAGGCCAAGCTAAGAAAACTGCCAAAGAACAACAGGTTTCACTTAGGAGGAAATTCTCCTTTGGTCACTTAAACAATGGATTCAGTTACTAGACACCCGAGTGCCTGCCGGTGAAAGCTCCATGTGCTATCTGTTAGCACTGCCCTTCACCTTGGGGCCGTGGCCCCGGGGCTGGCCACACAGACTCTTTTTCTTGGGCCAGACTGAGGTTTCTTAACTGTGACTCAGACTGGAGATTAGGTCCAGGCAGAGGAGATAACTGTTTCTAGTTTGGTTTCTCCTTGTGAGGAGGAAGTTCCCCTCCTAACTTTGTTCTGCATTACCTTTCATGACTTTTTCCCCCAGCCCTCACGTTCCCCAAGTTTGGGTGCCTGGACCTTTTCATTCTGCATTTCCCCCTCCCAGGCTCACATCATAGCTTCTCTGAAGAGGACTCCAGAATCTTAGGGAACAGGATCTAGAGGTCCACCTGTCTGCCAGTTACTGTCTCAAATGCAGCATTTCTAACAGCAGATTCACGGCTCTTTCTGCTGCTTCCACTTACAAACAACCTGGCTCATGACAAGCATGCTTGTCAGAAAAGTTAAGTCCCCGGGGCAGCCATTGTCAATGGTCCACACACTCTCCAGACCATCTCCTTTCCGTTCTCACCGCCAGGCTGTCCTGCAGGCCTTACGGCCTCCCTGTTGGACTTCTACCTTTGCTTCCCTCCCAACTGGTCTCTTGGCTCCCGGGTCCTAAAATTCTTTATAGCAGCTGGACTGTTAACCTCACAACTGCTCATGTAGCTACTAGATTTCCCAGGCAGAGTTCCTCTCTTCTCTGTGAAATGAAGCACACCCATTGCTCCTGCTGGAATGAAGGCTGTTTTCGAGATGGGCCTTCCTTAGGGAATGCAGTGCGCTCTCTGCTCATGTCTTGTTTGAGGTATGAGTGTGATCTTGCTTGTTTAATCTCCGGGCCTTTCTGGATAACCCGCTCCTTGGTGTGGCCCAGCCCTCATTCTCATCTCCACCTGTTGCATCACCAATCCTCAAAGCTTATCTCAATTGCCGCCTCCTGCCTCCCCACCTTGCTGAGACCTCTTCGCACTCTGGGGCTTCATTTGTAGCATCTGCGCAGAAAGATACTCAGATGTGACCTTGTGAATTCACTGTAAGCTACTTGAGTCCCTGGGGTAGGCCCTTGGGTCCAGGAGATGCCTGGTTTCTTGAGCTGCCTGCAGGCCAATGCTGACTGTCTGCTCACTGGCCACGGCCCCTGCCCCTGTGGGCTCATCACAGCCTTGCTTTCTCCGCTCTTTTTAAATCAGACACAGGCAATAGATTTGGCACAGAAAGAATTACCCTGCTCCTCCAGCCCCCACTGATTTTATATTTTGTTGGAGGCAAAAGCAAATATCCAAGGTTCAGGTCAACACCAATTTGGAAATATTTCTGCCCATTGGATATGAAAACTTTGAAAACGACATTTGACTTTTTTTTTAACTTGGGAAAAATTTGAAAGGTATAGCCTTTCAAGGAAACAGGATACTTAAAAAAAAGAAAAGAAAAAACCCAGTCTGGCTTCACGCACTTGAGTCCTGTCAAGCTAACCTAATCTTCTGTGACAGAGCAGCAGACCTGGCAGATCAAGGGGGAAAACAATGGTTGGAATTTATCTTTGCCGGCTTCATGATTCCTGGGTCCCGCTCAACATGATTATCATTAAACTGGTTGAAAGGTGAGAGCGAGAGAGAGAACACGCACTCTCACGTAGCTGGGAGACAGAAGTGGTCTCCCTAGGGGGTCAGCCTTGAGCCCAGCGGCCCTGACTGGGCCAGATGACAGCAAAGAGAACATATTCAAAGTTGGCATTAACGTCAAGGTGGGGTGGGGGTGGGAGGGTAGGTGAATCATTAGCAGGAAGAGTAACCGTGGCCAGTACTTGAGTGGGCCGTGGCAGTGCGCAGGCCTGCTCGGAGGAGGGCTCTCGCTTGGGGAGGACCTCGGTCACCGGTGCGGCGCTACACCAAGGCTGGGATGCTGCGGTGAGGGACTGCAACGAGCTGGTGGCCTGCAGTCCAACTTGGCATTCACTGCGTCTCCCTCCAGCTCCACAGCCAGAGAATTTGGACAACATTCAAAGGAGCCACAGATGCAATTACACTGGGCTGGGATGTGGGAATTGAAGACTTCTACAAAAAAGTTAAATGAATTAGGTTTATTGAACTCAGAGATGGACAACCTTACAAGGGCAGCAACAAACAAAGATAGCAATAGGTTTACATTACAACACAGGAGAATGAAATTAAATGTAGGGAAGTTCCCTTAGCCTTGAGAGGGAGAAATGGGTCGCTTAAGTAGAATGGATTTCTCCAGGGTGGCTGGCGCGTGCTCGGCTGACTCAGGCAGACCTGAGTCACCTCTGACACGTCTCCGCCCACGCTGTTAAAAGACTACTTTCAAGTACTTCTTTAAACTCAAAATGGAAAATGAAGAGGCAGCTGGTGCCTCAGTTGTTTTAATGGCCTCGGGCTTGGTTATCGCTGGTAAAGAGAACTTCCAACATAACATGAAGCCCAGCAGCTGGTGACTGGACAGGAGCCCGAGCCAGGGCTCCCGTGTGTCACGGTGCAGATTTGCTCTATGCTGAAGTCAGACTCACAGGTACTGGGTTTCTTTCTATTGTCCCATTTTTAGTATAAACAAGCCCGATAAAGGACCTAATCTCGGCAAATGGTAACAGTGGAAATTTGAGTGTATGGCACCCTAAGCTGTTCATGTCTGTCCCCGAACACTATTTTCTTTAAGGCATGATTGGCAGAGAAAAACAGACACGATGATTTCCCTATGACACTGCTAATAGCTAATAAATCACACACACAGTTGTATGTAAGTTAATTCTTTAAATTTAATCAGTCCTTTATAAAACTTCCCAATTAATTAGTAAAAGATGGCTTATTTTAATAGCCTTCAACAATTGGTCGCTATTTAAACAAGACATTCTAAAAAAAAAGCAATCACATAATAGTTTATAGTCATTTACAAGTGGATGGTATACATTTAGATACAGAGGTAGAAGTTCACTTTTACAACGTTTCACTAATACACATTTACCAAATTCAAGGCACAAAATAGTTTGCTTTACAAAAAAATACTGTAAAAATGTCATTTGCTGTTGTACAAGGTGAATAAAACTTTCAAAAGAATCTTTACACCCTTCCATATGTACTCCAGAGTATAAGATTTCCCCCCTCACTAATCATAGTTGGCACAAAAATGGGGATTTTTTAAAATTTAGAAGTTCCCATTTTTAGAAATGCTTTCTTTGCTGAGCTACTATGTATTCTAGATAAATGTCCACCCAGAGAAGCGAAACACAGCAATGTCCTGAGGAAAGGGCACTTTCTGTTTGCAGCAGAGTTCACAGGTAGGAAATGCATGATCTTTTTTGGATAACTGGGTCCCCAGAGTGATAGATACTTGAGGAAAGGTTTCAGAGATAAAGTTTAAAAATTTGGCTAACACTTTAGTCGTTGTGACTTTAAGAAAGAGACCTGATCATCCTACAGTAACAATCAAACATCACTTAATTCAAATTGATGGAGGTTTCAGAATTCCTTTTCAAAAGAGCTACACAAATACCACGAGAGGGCCGCACAGGCTTTGCAGAACCGAAACCTAGGAAACGTGAGAAAACAGCACTATCGGTCCTTGGAGTTGCAAGGGTGTCAACTGGCTAGAGTTTAATGACGAGAATTAATGAACTCTATGGGAATTGAGAAAAATCACACACGTCAAACACACTGTAGTTATCATCTCTAGACTTTCTGCTCATTAAAAAAAATAACGGTAGCCTGGAGATGTCACACAGTGCTTGTCTGAAAGAACTGACTGGTTTTAGGGTTCTGCCTAATAGGATCTCGCTGGCAACAACTCGACCTCACTTTTGCTGATCGTGTTTTCCAAGTACTCTAGTTGGTTAATTTACATTTTATTTATTTCTTTAAAAAGTTGATTAATAAAAAAAAGTCCACACGAATTTAGAATCCGGAGAATGTCAGTAATGCTGAAGTGGATGAACCGGAGCATCCTGGTCGCCGTCCGAGAGAAATGGTATCGCACATAAACACGGTTCTCAGATGCCGCTTTTCGCTTCATTATTGTTTGTGGCTTGTTTTCTTTGAGCAATAAAGGGGTACATACACTTGTCCGCCCCTAGGAACCGATACATGCACACGACTGCTTCAAATGGAAGGATGCTGAAAGGAAAAGCCACAGCTGTGAGCACGGGAGGCGTGAATCAAGTCAGGGAAGGACCGCACCCGGGAGGGGCCCCTCAAAGTTACCTCTTCATGAAAGTCACGATGTACATGAGGCGCGGGGTGCAGATCATGGGCTGGTCGGTGAGGATGGCCCTCATGGCCTGCTGCACACAGTAGTCTGGCTTCAGAGGGGGCAAGAAAGGCTCGATCTCCTTCCTGAAAGTCATGTAATTAAAATGCAATGAAGAACGAACACACAACAGGGAACACTGAGCACACACATCACAACATTAACAGTTATGTTATCTGAGTGACAAGATTTTGGGTCCGCTTTGTTTACTTCATGGTGTTTTCTTGTATTTTTTAAAGTTTCCTACTATGAATGGGCAACAGTCTGGAAAACAAGTTTTTAAAAAAAGGCAAAACCAGTCTGCTTACTGGACAGTGAGTCAAGTTTTAAAAATGCCTGAAGATGTATTTCGAATTACTTTTCTATTTCCTTTTCTTTCAACATAAAAAGGAGAGGGTGCTCAGCATAACAAACACTAAACCCAAACAAGATGCCAAACTTTTGGTGTTCAGTGTAGCTCAAATGACGGCGTGCAAACACTGGCAGAGCCTTTCTGAGTGAAGTAAGGCAGCTCTGTCCCTTCCTGGGTGCCAGCCAGGGAAAGCCAAGGTATTTTCTCCAGGGCGCTCCGACGTGACGCACACTGAGACATCTACCTACCTTCAGCTGAGTTCAAAAAGTTACATGTTGAAATAGCCTAATGATATAATTTACTCCACTCACTTTTCCCTGTCCCACCACAGCTCTGGACACCTGCCCTGATTCTAGACAGGAAACAGAGCTCCTCAGACCCTGAGCAACTGGCTCCTAACATAAGGGAAAACCACATGTGTGTGTATGCACATGCGTGCACACGCGCACACACACGGGAAAGGTGGGGTCAGCCTGAGACTGCAAGGGCTCACGTCATCTTCCGCCACTTCACTGCTGGTCAGGTTCAGGATGTGACCGACAGGAACTCACTGGTTATCTTCCGCCGCCTTTCAAATGCACCCAAGCAAAGGCCTCCAAGCAAGGTGTCTTCACAAGCACCCTCTTAGCGATTCCCAGGGGTGTTTACCTGCTTAGCTCCAGGCAGACCTGACTTGACATTTATATTCCCATATGCCTCCTTTCAAGGTGGGCGGGTATTTTACTTCATTTCTAGTAAACTGAGTCGTTTCTTCTCAATCTGGCTACATACTCTCTGCAGAAAGGAAGCTCCCCAGTCTGGAGTGAACTCCGTAACAGTGACATTCCAACACTGGCATGAAAGAAATAAAACACCTCCTAAAGAGGTGGCCTCGCACGGGACTCTGGGGTCCTAGTCTCTGCTTGAGGGTGTGGAGAAGCCATGCTCCGTCCGATGCTTTTAGCCTGACTTCTGCAAAGTGACCCCAGCGTGGCACCAGACCCTCGCCTGCTAATCTCGCTCACGTCAACTTTACAAGCCTCTGACCAGTGAAAACTTCACGTTAACTGTCAAATGAGAGTCCAAGTGAAGGCTATGTTTGAGGATCCCAATTTCACATATTCTCCTGGTATGGAAAGATGATTTTTAAAACAGCTTTTTATCAGCAATAAGATGGGTTCTCACAGACCTGATCCGGCAGCCTCTGAACATGCCAGTGTCAACCAGGTACGGGCAAACCAGCGTTGTTTTAATTCCATCCTTCTCAGCAGCCTTCAACTCGTGGCTCAGGGACTCGTGGAAGCCCACGACTCCAAATTTACTGGCACAGTAATCCTGGGTCAGAGGGAGAGAGGAGGGCCACAGAGCTAAGGACACGCACAGATCCCAGACCAACCCCAATCCCAAGCTTCCCTCCGGTCTATTACTCTGGTTACATGTTTGCTACAAAAGGTTACAGGTGACTTAGCAAAGCAAAGGAAAGCATTTTAAAAGACAGATATCTGATGTGGTTCAGTGCAGAAATAATATTTTCAAAGCAACAGCAAAAACACATGAACACTTTTCGCCACATCAATGAGGTATCATGTTACTAGGGGGGAGTTACCACAAAGGACTCTATGAAAGCCAGTGAGCTGGAGTTAAAAATGGAGAGAGGTTTACTTTGAAGTGTCTGGAAAATTTACAAATGGTCTCTTGTTCAGCAAAGAAAACTGAGAAACAGTTCGTTTAAGTTAATGCTTGGAGAACAGAGGCGAGTGAGCCTAGCTTAGGTTATAAGTTGTTATGATCTGATTTTTTTTAGGGTGAAGTACAAATGAAAATGATAACTACACCTTGTGAACTTAAACTAGAACTTAACCTAAGGAAACATGGTATAAAAAGAAAGTTCTCGCTACCCAACTTTACGTTTAGGAACGGGAAGGTAGAATGGAGAAGCCATCTATTCTGTGTCCTTTGCGTATTTGCATGGGGCGATGCTTCCAACGCTGACACTATAGGCACCCACAGGACAGCAGCACATTGTAATATACGTGCACATGCTTTATAATTTGAACATGGTGAGGAGCAGGGTTTGATTAAGGCCAGTTTCACAAACTGACAATGCAGGACCCCTCACATCTGCCAGAACCATCTCATCTGACGAGCTGATACAAGATCGCTCACTTTGGGCAAGTTGACCAAAACAGAAGGTCAACCTTTGGCCTCATTTATCTGCTCCCCATGACACTGCCACTGCCCTCCACGGCTTCATTCTTGACCTGGTGCCTCCCACCATCATCAAGCAAAACTGCTAGTGGGCACGGGGCACACTGAGGACGGGCCCGGCGCCTTCTCTTCCTGCTGCTGTCCGGTGACACCTGAGGGCCCTGGGACACCCAGGTAGAGGCTTTCAGGAACGTCCAGGCAGCAGGTACTCTTCTTAGGATTTGGGGGTATTCGTCACGACACAGAGCAACTGAATGAAAGAACAGCTTTACATCTGACAAACCTCGACTCCAGCGGTACTGAACAATCCCAAGGAACTTGCAACTGTCACGATATGACCATGATTAATCTCCAGCATCGTAGGAAGAAAAGCCTTTGTGGTCTGAAAGAAAAGTGAGATGCAGGCTTCAGAACTCGAGGAGTGTCATCTAAAACCCAAACCAACATCACAAAGTTTTACATTTACCAAAAATAGAAGATCTTTCAGAATCTGGTTAACTTCGCACCGTGTCATTGGCGTGGAAGGCCTATTACAAGCCATGACCAACAAGACTGTAACACAAGACCCTTTGGGGACAATGTCCAGATGAAAAGAAAGCCATCAGTATAAGGCTCTCTATCACCTTTCAAGTGATAGTTATCTGCTAATCTAAACGACTCCTAGGTCAGAAATCTTTTTAGCTTGTGACACTTAAGAGCAGCTCTCTCATGGTCTGAGAAGGGCCCCAGCCTCCCCACAGATGCCTTGTATCAATGTTTACCTAACAGATACATCTAAACAGCGATAAACCCATGAATGAAGGGATGTCCCAGCATTGTCCTCCAGCACGTAAAGCTTTATTGCCAAAGTGTACTAACAGGAGGTCAAATATTTTCATATGTAAAAAAACTGGGTAAAAGTACAGAATCATTTTAATGAAAACCGTGTAGTAATGCTAACTCTGCACTGACAAGAACTTCTCAATGACCGCACTGCACTATGGGGTGTGCTGGGCAGCGACTTTCCCATGGAGGCAGGTGACTGGCCCCTCAGTGCAGCAGAGCACGTGGCACAAATTCCAGGAGAGTGGACTCGGGCGGCGCTGATTTCTTACTCACTAAATTCTCCTCTCCCTCTAGTTCTATTGCCTTCAAGATGCAGGGCTGTATTTTTTAAAAAATTACTTCAAATTGCTTAAGATGATCTATGAACTACTCTACCAGGCTCCCAACAGTTTTATAACCTGCTTCTTAAAAGAAAGCAGCAAAGAGCAATCTGTCTACTGTTGAGTTATAGCCCATTGCCAACACAGCTTCCCATGATTTATGAAGTTAAAAAACCCAAATGCTACACAATGGACTTTAAGAAGAGCTGCATTCCCTTCTCAGAGGATTTCCTGGCTAAGTGATCACTGAATTTTTGCATAAATATCTAATTTGTTATGATAACGTTTGCATGTACAAGATAAAAAACAGTCATTCCATCAACTGTGAAGTTTTCCCATGTTCCAAACCATGACACATACAATTGCTGGATGAATCTTGATCACATGCCCTAAGGTCTTCCCTAGTCTGGCTCTGGACCAGCATGTGACAGCCCTTGCCCCCCAACTCGGACCCCATTTGTCGGCCTCCTCGCTGTTGCCACCTATGTCGTGCTCATCTCACCTGCCAGGTTTCACCCATGACCTCTTCTCTGAACATCTACCCCCGATCCTGCCTATGTACTTCCGAGTATAAGATCCATCACAGATTTTCGCAGCCCCTATGATTTCCGAGTGCTCGTGTCACTGGAGTTCCCAATACTTCGCTATCAAAAGTAGTCAGGGGGTTAAGCCTTTACCTAATATTATTCTAGTCACCTGACTTTGCCCATATTTCTTTAAGACATACAGTTGGTACCATTCACTGTAACATATGTTTTGTGGTATTTTGATTTTGTTTTAATTTGGCTGCCCCAGACTAAGCGGGAAGATACAGGTTCTCTCGACTATGAAGGGAGAAATCTACGCTGTGACAGGTTTATAGCAGGTACACATTTCAGCTTGACCTGATTTCTTCGTGGTGGTAAGCAGGAATGGTTAGGGCAATTACGACAGCAATTATGACTTTGGTGTGCTGGATAGCCAAAAAAGGCAAGCTGTGGTACTTTAGGTCATTATAGGTCTACCTTTAGGCTCTATAGCTGATGTATGGCCATTATATCACAGACTTAACAATAAAGTAGCATCACAAAGAGGTTACATATTCCAATCTAAACTAGAAAACCTATCCTTATACAAGCAAGCTTATGAGTGTTGTTTTAAGCATCTGGTTATGATTGTCTCCAGATTAGCTAAAAAGTATAAAATTTATTCTTCATGTTATCCAGAAATCATTGTTAAGTATTAATCGTTTGCTTAGTCTTGTAAGATGGGATAGATTTAGTATAAAGGGCCCTATTTTCAAGTTCATAAGTATAAGAACTCGATGTTAAATCCTAAGAAATTACAGTGTAAAATACCCCTGAGAATATGCTACTTGGTGACCTGACACATCCGAACGCCGACTGTGACCACCACGTGGCCCGTGTCCCCTCTAACTCTGGCTGGTGGATGGCCCTGAGTGGAAGCGCAGACACCAAGTGGGTTGGCGCTAACGACTTCCCCATGTTCATGGGCCACACCGTTGCCTGCAGGTGTTAAATGACTAATCCAGGTCCCAGCACCATATAAAGTAGGTGATAGAAGATTAACAAATTCCTAACGGTTTTTAAAGTTTCACTTGTTGCAAGTTTCTGAAACTGACGAACGTCCCCTCTCCTGAGATTAGTCTGGTGGAATCAACTTACTCAACAAGCGTTTCTTGACGGTCTACTACACACAGGTTCTGTTGTGATCTGGCCAGTGATGGGAGGACATGGGTCCCTTCCTGTCCCTGTGCAGAACTTACTGGGTTAAATCAGAGCATCCAATGGAAAGCAGTTCTACTTTACACTTTAGAAAAGCGGAGTCTCGTGGCTGCATACTCAAAAAAAAAGTCACTTGGGCTTCTTCCCCCTGATCCCTCTGCAAAGTACTGTCATCTGGAGGGACACTGAAGCTGCTGGTTTTGGATTTAAAGGGAAAAGGGAAAAAGAAAAACAAAAGAATCCAAACATGGCTAAATGACAATTTTTTTCAAATTAATTGTGGTTGTAAACATTTTTCAGGGAAATATGCTTCACTTTAAGTAGCCAGTAAAGTGACATAGGTTTGTTTAATCTGAAACTTTCTTTTGGGGGGGGGGGGGTTGGTTTAAAAAAAAATAGTGTCTGATCAATGTTCTGTTTAAAATATGTGACTTCTTGCCTAATCAGGGACAGATCCAGCCTCTGTATGAATGAAATCCAGTGTGTTATTTTATTTCTCGCTCCAAGACAAAGGCCTATATTCTTTATTTAGAAAGGCTTACCAACTATAGATCTAAAACTAAAATTACTAGGACAACTACAAGCCATGCGGGGAAAACAAGGTGCTGAGAGAAGGGGGAGGTGAAGGAAGCACCCAAAGCCACATGGCCTCGGAACCAGACTGCCTGTCTTCCAGAGCTGGTGTCAGCCACTCAGCTCCTACTGTGCACCGGGCCAAGGCCAGCCTGGGAGGGGAGCGTTCACGTAGGGACCAGTCAGGTTTCCTTTTAACCCTGAGTTTGCAGGGCTCAAGCTGGAGCCTGATCCATGCGACTGAGCACCAGGGCTGCTAATCATTTTCTTTGCTGCCTGAATGGAGGTGAGCAATTACTGCTGGTGCGTTGTTCCCACAACCAAACTCCTGCCTTATGTCTGGAGCACATTACCAAATAAACTTTGATCAGCACGGAGTCTATCCCTGACTTTACAAGAAAAATGCTATAAATCAGTAGTTAGAATGCACCCCACTTTCAGGAATTTCCCCAAGCCCCAACTAGTTTTCTTTTCTAATGACTCTTGCCCTCAACAGCCTGGTAGATGACATCTGAGATAGCACAGCGTGTTCCGTCCCTGACACCGTCTGACAGCACACAGAAATCTGGCACTTCGCAATGAATTATTAATGTGCGCAAATACTGTAGCATGTATGAGATGGGGACCAGCGAAAGGTGAAGTGCTAGTTGCCATGACACCAGTCAGTTCAAGCTAAGGTTCGCGATCTCTCACTTTGTCTCAGAGAGTCGTTAGCAGAACAGAAAGGACAAATACGAAGCGCAACCCAACTGGCTTAAGCAGAAACTCACGGCTGTGCCGCCGTCAGTGAACCTGGCCGGGCAGCTCAGACAGCTCACCCAGCACCGGGACTGCTGTGTTTTCTCCACTGTAAGGATGGATTCCCGGGACTGGGAACTAGCACCCGGTAAAGGGACCTCTAAAGGAAGCAGAGTTGGTTGGTGCCAATGGTGGTTGCCAAGGTTGGCTAGACACTTACCCTAAGTCAGAGAATTATACTCTATCACTATGTCCTCTTACTCAAATGTCTAAGACACAGAGGAGGACACCCAGCTTCTCATCAGGAAAATAGGGTTGCCTCTGGATCTCGGGGGGCTCAAGGTTAGTAACCAAAGTATAGTAACTGGTCTGCTCAGTGAGACAATTTACAGTCAGAATGGACTAGGGATTATCTTATCTGCAAAAGAGAAAACTCTTAGGAACAGCCCCTGGCTAAAAAGTATGGAGATACAACCCTGATTCCCTGTGACTAACTTTCATCACAAGACTCCAATACCTTGGTCTGCCACCAGCTGACAGGGTTGCTATGTGACTCAAAGGAAAACAGAAGGACAAGGGACATTCGTATGGACACTGACATTCCTACGGAACCTACTTAACAAGTCCAGTATCCCCACAGCTCCTCAGGGGTCCTCTTCAAAGCACCAGGCGCTTTGAAAGATAACGGTAGGGGTCATATTTATAATACAAACAAGAACTTCTTGAACAGAAGTGTGACTGGACATAGACACGACATGTCCCATCTCGAGAAACCTTTGAATGTTAGGTTTACGCCAAATTAACCTCCAACAGTTCCAACCGTCCAGATCATCCCGGGTGCCCCTAATGACAGACTGTGGCACGGAGCCTGCGGCTGCACTGTCAGGACCAATCAGCCCAAAGTTAAATAAAAGAGCACATGAAGAAATGTGGAACCCAGCAAAGTCTGCGTTGAAACTTCCAGAATGATGACTTGTTAAAGGTGCAGGTGAGACGCCCAGAATGTGTTCTCTGGATTTGTGAGCCAGTCCAAGTTAATGGGCATGAAGGGGAAAGTGAGTGAGTTTCTCGCAGCAGGAAAAAGCATCATACTGTATTTTTGTGCATTTGTGCATTTTTACAACTGTCCTGTGGTCAATTCAAGAAGAGGCGTATTTTACAAGAATCATTTTGTAGTGTTTATCTCGCATTTGAATGTCCAA